ACGGTAAAAATACCTTGGGGGAAAAGAGTGTAGTGGTGACACCAATAATGAGTGTGAGTGCATCACAAGCCACACACTCTCCTCCTGGCTCGGCCTCTGACTAACACTTTTGCTTGGGGTCTAAATACCACACACGTTATATCCATAGAGTGGGAGCTATCCGGCGACCATCCATGGTGTGAACTGAGTAAGTCCCTGAGGTTGAAGGTATCAGAGAAACTGTGATCACAGTGTCACAGTGAGCGTGGCTAGCGTGCAGTGAGCGCACGGGGATGTTGTATGATGAGTGTTAATGGTGCAGTGAGCGCACCTGTTTGTGATTGAGAATGAAACGCCCTGTATTTGTTGATGCATGATTTAAAATATGTTAGAAAATGTGTGGAATAGGCAAGGTGAGACTCTATGCTTGTTTATGTGTGTGTGGTAATGTAGAATACTCACCTTTACATTTAATTTTCAGGTGACCAAGACGATTAGCACCAAGTCCAATAAAGGATGAATGAAACTACTATAGGGGTTAGGAATTTATTTTGAAAGTTTGATGTATTAATTAAGTTCTATAGCAATCATTGATACAAATTTGTAATCCATCCTTATTTCGAAACATTTTGTTAAACTTGTGTATGGAGAACCACTTTAATGAAAATTTTATTATTCCTATTTTTTTAAAATTTATTTTTTGGAAATTAAATTAAGGCGTTACAACTTTGGTATCAGAGTAGTTCATCCAAACTAGACTGGGGTATTGGGTTGAAACGTCCAAGCTTTGTGTTGATATGTTTTGCTTACTTGGAATATAAATGTTGTTCTTGATCTAACGTGGTGGATTATTGTTTGTTAAAATTGTTTGCTAGATTATATTAGAAATGGTTGGTAGAGATAGGGGAGCTGGAGTTACCAATGACCTTCTAGAGTGAATGACCCAAGTTCTAGAGGCCTTGGTATACAACCAAGATATAGAGCCTGCTGAATACCCAGAGTTATCTGCCTTCACTAGGCACAATCCTTCCAAGTTTGAAGGTGAATTTGACCCCGAAGGAGCCCAGAGGTGGGTGGCAGATATGGAGAAAATCTTCAATGCTTTGGGGTGCCGAGAGAAGTTCAGAGTGAACTATGCCACTTACATGCTATGTGGGGAGATTGAAGACTGATGGAGATTTACCAGTCAGACTTTGTCACAGAAGGGTGGCTACATCCAGTCGGAGGCATTCAAGGCAAGTTTCCTAAGAAATTACTTTCCCCGAGACTTAAAGAAACAGAAAGCCAGAAAGTTCCTTGAGCTGAAATAAGGAAATATGACCGTGGGAGAGTATGCGACAAAGTTCCAAGAGCTGATGAAGTATTGACCTCACTATCAGCATGAGGATGAAGAGGAATACCTGTGTGCCTAGTTTGAGAATGAGCTGAGGCTAGAGATTAGGGCTACTGTCAGTGTGTTCTAGCTGACTGACTTGCCCACTCTGGTGAGCAATTGCAGGATCTTTGAGGCTAATTCGAAGGGTAAGACGGTGGACACTAGGGGGAATGGTCCAATGAGACATGATAGAAGACCCCCTAGATTCTCGAATGGGTCGTATTCGGGCTTTATTTTACTGTTACTTTATTATTTTTGTATTTAAATGTTTAAAACATTTCAAATTTTATTTAGCTCAAATAGTTATTTAATCTTGTGAAGTTATAATTGAAAAATTTAATCTTTGAAAACGATGCTTGAGACTCAAATGAATTCTGATTTTTATAACTTGTTACAATTACACTAGTACACTCCAATTGTTTCTCTCTTTAATGTTTTACTTGAGTTGTAACAAGTTTAAAACACATTAATTGGACTTCTAATTAAGTGAATTGTACAAGCAAGAGTTATGGATTCTGATTTTGATAACATTTTATCTTCTTCATAAAGTATGAATTAAGATTATTCTAATTTCTAACCGATCTTTCTTTTGAAAATTCAAACAATTTATATTTTATTACAATTACTGGTTTATTTAATATTGTCGGGGGTTAATGTTCTATGCATTTTCTGGTTTATTAGAGTGTGCTTCTTTCATAAACAAAGAAAAACAAATTTATTAGTTTATTTTTCTTAATAATTTATTTGTATATCAATAACAATCTTTTTAATTTGCGGCATCACTTTATTTTGTTCATAAAATGAGTATAGCAGAGCTTTTGGCTGAACATGATATTAAATTCGGTAAGAAATGAAATTTGATTTAGTAGAGAAACTTTAATGTTATTTTCAATTATTTTACATAACAATGACATGGAAAGAGAGAGCACAGAAAATTTAAGATATTGTTACTAGCTTCCAGAAGCAATGCTGCTTTTCAGATTTAAAGGAATAGAGTGAGACAACATGGAAAACAAATATATGAAAGTGTATTTGTAGTAAAGTTGCTCATAATGACTCAAGCTTGTTTCATATTCAAGTTTGTAGGAGAGGGAATTATAAGATAAATGTAAAGAGGCAGAACACATTGTGATTGAACCTAAATTCAATTCATTTTCCTCAACTTAATGTGTGTGTGTGTGTATATATATATGAAACATTTTCAAAAAAGGGTTTTAAATCTATTATCTGAATTGGTCAAATACTATCATGTGAAGTTTTAGATGATGTCTTTTAATTACTACTTCTAAATTAATTAAAGAACAAGATTAAATATAAACTTCAAAGAAAAACTTTTAGTAAGACTACACCCAATTTGGAAGAACAGAAACTTAATAGAGATAATTAACAAGGAGAAAAACATGTTAATAATTTATCTTGATTCAGTATTAAATTAAACAAAAGTTGTGTCCAATCCTTCACATGAAAATTAGGAAGTTTCATTATCAACAAGCTTAAAATACAATAAGATTTCTCATACCCAAGTGTGTTTTACACAACCTCTCGAGACTCTTAATGCAAGTGTCCTTTCTCTAAAAGTCTTATCAAACTCACTCTCTCACACTCAATGTATGTGTTTAGATAAGCATTAATAAACTTAATTTAATCATATCAAGAGATTTACTTCTTAAAATATTTTCACAATGACGGCACAGTATCGGTAGATATGGATATACGAAGAAAGAAGAAACATACGAATGAAAAATGTGTTTCTTGAATTCATCATTTGGTTCAGGACTTCAATATTCTTCATCTCCATAAACAACTTTGGTTTATATGACTGTAAGAATACGAACATTGTGATTAGATGTTCACTTTATATCAGCATTTAATGCATATTAAGTCATTCGGTTACTATTTTGTGGTACAGTTGCATTATCTTGTAAGAAGATAGCTTACTTTGCAAGATTTGTTGGGGTCGATTAAGAACTTTGCCTCTTTTTACACAATAGTATTGATATTGCTACATTTAATTCTTCATTTTACCTTTCTACCTTTTCGGATTTATGTTTCTGATTTGAGGTAAACCTGGTTTTCACCTTTTTTTCTTTTTTTTGAAGAAACCTCAAGTTTAGACCAAGGTCTGTTCAAAGGAGAAGTCACTAAAACACATGCTTTATTTAAAACAAAAACTATTTAATAGTTATTCAATAATAATTTTATTAAACTTGTTCTATATATAAAAATAGTTCTAAATTTATTATACTTCTATCTTTTTCAAATATGTCCGTAATTTTTGTTAAAATAAGCCTCTTATATTAAATAATTTGAAAAAATTACCTCATACTTTGCTTTATGTCTATATTTATATTAGAGTAACCCTATTTCAGACAATTTTCAAACGATCATTTTGAAATTATGAAATCTAAAAATTTAGGCTATTAAAAGAATTTATTGTTAACTTCAATTCCCTTAATTCAGATATAATATTTAACAAATAATATATTTAATCTATAAGCTTATGTTATTATAAAACAAATGGAAGCATAAGATGTCTTTATATAGTTCTAACATCTTTTTTTCTGATTACTAGTGATGTGATATTCCATAAAGTATCAATTTTCTTCTCTCATAAATATCTTTCAATATTCGGAAATAATAATAACACTTAAAAATTTATCAACATATTATAGTAACACTTAAAAGTATTAGAGTTCTATGATTTACATCTTTCTATATATTTCTCCACTTTATCTATCGAAGTTAAAACTTAAGTTACACATTTTCCGGTAGTTCTTCCTAAGTCGCGTGTTACCTAAAAACCAAAAGAAAAGCATTCGAAATCATACTTTACTTTGTCTGCTAGTAAAGTTTGTATCCAATGTCTGCATCATTAATTAGCCATTAAGCTTTTACATATAATACTACATTTGTGAATTTAGTATATTGTCTCTTCGAGCAGCGACACACGGTCAAACAGTTACAATATAATCAAGATACGTTGTACAGTGATCTTATAAGAGTGCTTAATTATTTAATTTAGAGAAATATTAATGCTATAATAAATTTATATAACTTTTTATAAATTGAAAAAAATAAGAAAAAGAAAGATCAGAGAATAATAAAATGAGTAATATAATGAAAAGAAACTCAAAATAAAAAATATTATAACTCTGATTTAAAATTATGCGATGACAACGAAACTGCTCAATTCACTAATATTTGGAAGAGCTACTGTACATGCAGGGTTACGTTATTGCATCAGGGAAGAGCCCACCGTATGCATTGTTTGTTGAAATCTTCTAAATATATATTCCCTTCCTTTAACCTTTAGTATGCAATATTCCTTCCTTGAAGGTTTTGACAATAAACATACCCTCTTTAGCAAAAGCAAAAGCTGCAGGAAATCATTGCAAAATGCCGACACTGTCCCTGCTTACCTCATACGAATCATGAACATACAAGGTTAATTGTGTCTCAAAATCCAGCGTAGTGGTCACAAAACGAGTTAGCTTAAAGATCAGATTGAATCTCTTTGTGCTAAAGCAGTTAAGACAAGATCGTAAACTCTAGCCCACTCACAGTCTTATAAATAGGCCAAGAACCATACGAAGGAGGCACCATTTGCATCAAAACCTGAGAGATCAAAAGAGGTATCATATCATCAATGGCAGCTTCAATTGTCCCAACATCCACTTTGCTCCATGCAAGGGCTTCCAACCCGTTGGCTTGGTCTGATGATCAAATTCTTGAGAAAGTTTACATTACCCACGTCCACACCGCTGAAAGGTACGATGTGGAGTCACTTTTCAATGTTGCTTCAAACATTATAAGGCGTTCCACTGCAATTGCTGACAGTATTGCAGTTAAGGTAACCTTCAATATATAAATCCGTCGCTTCCACCATTGTATATATGTTTATCAGTAAAGAAAACCATTTGTTTTACCATTTGTTTAATTTGCAGACTGGTACACCCGTTGGTGTTATTGAAGACAAGGTTACTTTATCCACTTTCGATCCACCGTTCCTCAAACTGAAGAACATTGCTGCTCAGGTTATTCTTCAGCTATTCATCTGTACTCCTTGCTGTGGGATATAATTTGCCACTCCTTGTAAATTCACAAACTCCCCCGATTTTAAACTTAAAAGTGTATATTTCAAGAAAATAATTTATTTTATCAATTACTACAATAAAATCAATTTTATTCAAAACAATCTTATTAAAAATGCTGAAGTTATTGAATTAGTTAGTCAATAGGAATTACTCTTAAAGTATTAGAGTTATGATTTTTTTAACTTATACAAAATTGCACATGATAAAAAACTAAAAAATATTACATTTTTATTAAAAATTACAGTATTTAATTGTATTAATTTTTATAATTAAATTTAATAAAAAATTAATTGTGTGCAAAATTGGATATGTTGAAAAAACAGTTAGAATTATTATAATAGTTAATTGACAAAAATTGTCAATAATAATCAAGGGTGCTATTAAAAAAATAATTATTGCTTTTTTAATATTTTTAGAGTAATAAATAATTTGAAGTAAATAAAAAAAATGCTTAAGTGCCCTCTAACATAATAAAACACATGAAGTAAAATAATTTACACTTATAATCTCATGCATTAAAGTGGAGGCATACTCCATATTTGAAATCGATAATTTAAAAAAAATTATTTCTAAAGAATAATTATGAATTCTCAATATTATTATTTCTATATAATAAAATGAATTAAATATGTACTTATTCAAAATGAAGTTCTAAAGAACTACATCCTTGAACGTAACAAATTTAGACACATGCATGCTCTAACGACACAAACCCCATCCATTAAAAGTGTTCTAAATGAAGAGAAATTTTAGAGCAACTTGGGTTTTGTGTACATGTATCCATAATAATGATGGTTATTTGAGGTTGCAGATGATGAACACGCCTCACGGTGAGCATCACGCACACCAAACAGCAATGTCAATACTTGAACAGCTGAAAACATACACATGGGATGGAAAAGCAATATTAGCTCTAGCTGCTTTGGCTCTGGAATATGGGAATTTCTGGCACCTTGTCCAGGTTCCAGGCGGAGACCATCTTGGAAGATCATTGGCACAAATGAATCGAGTTCACAGCATCGAGAGGAATAGGCAAGCCGTTGCTGATTTTAACAGTTTGGTTAAGAACTTATTGATCGCCGTTGAGTGCATCGCCGAGTTGGAGAGACTTTCCACCAAAGGTTTTGACACAAAGGATGTGCCAGCTCTTGCAGAATCCATGCAAGAGATCCCTGTCGCTGTCTACTGGGCAATCGTCACCACTGTTGTTTGCGCTAATCATTTTGATTTTCTCTTGGGTGATTCGTAAGTCTCCAATTTACGTACATCTTTAATAAATTCTTCATGTGCATGTTCATATCGTGCTAGTTGAAACGTAAAGACTATTTCTTTCCACTAATAATAGCTTCTATTTGTCTTTTGATTGATTATTAATGGAAAATGCTACACTGATCAACGAATCAAAAGCAGAAATATTTTTATTGAAAACGTATAATTGTATTTAATCCCATGATTTCTAATACATCCTGATGTGATTTTTAATAATGGTTTATTTAACGTGTGTTCAAAAAAACATGATATATATGAGATTAATAAATACAAAAATTATAGCATTTGCTTAGGATACCAGTGAGAGACCATTACGTTTTGAAATGTTGTCACAAGATATAAATGTACATACTTTTTTCATTTAATACCTATTTTTTAGAAGTAATAAAAAATTATTAAGAGAATATAAGAAAGCTAATTGTTAAAATTCCCAAGTCAACCACTGTAATATTTTCCTGTTTTCTTTTATTGGTGGGTGATACACACTTACCCTTACAAGTAGCATTTGCTTTTGTTCAGTGACGACAGGTATGAAATAGCGAATTTTGATGATAAGCTTTCCTCCGTTATCAGCAAATTGAAGGCGAATCTGACCAGGAGCAGAAAGAAGATAGGTTCTGTACCGACTGTTCCAAATACTTCGTAAACATTTGATGCATTATGAAACATGCACATTAATATTGAACTATTGTGACGAAAGACATGAAAATTCAAAGCTGAAAAGGGATTACCTCTGTTTATTTCAGGTGAGTTGGAAGATTACTGGAGGCGTAAGAGGCTGCTTCAAACTCCTACAGAAATTGTCGAGGTTTTGAAGGTTCTGATCTTCCACAATGATGTTCACGATCCCCAAGTATATGATGCCTTGTCTAGACAAATGGTAAGGAAGCATTTGAAGGGTATTACGATTATCATCATTTCCTTTGAATGATCTTTTTCAACCCAAACAAACAGGTTAGCATCGAAGTGTTTAGGCAGAAGCACGTGTTACTGTTCATTTCGGGTCTTGACAGCATCAGGGATGAGGTTCGGCTTCTGCAATCTATCTACGAGGGGTTACAAGAAGATCCTAGAGAAGTGAAAGGATACAGAAAAGAGGACTTCAAGATTCTTTGGCTCCCTGTTGTGGACGATTGGAGTGTTCTTCTACACAGAGCAGAGTACGATAATTTAAAGCTTGAAATGCCCTGGTACGTGGTTGAGTACTTCTACCCCTTGGCAGGAATAAGACTGATTAGGGAGGACTTGAACTACAAGAACAAGCCTATCATCCCTGTGTTGAACCCTCAAGGTAGGGTCGTCAACTACAATGCCATGCACATGATTTTCGTTTGGGGAATCGATGCCTTCCCTTTCAGACCCTCTGATGATGACATCCTCACCCAGAAATGGAATTGGTTCTGGGCCGAAATGAAGAAAGTCAATCCTAAGTTACAAGACCTTGTAAGTGCTAATTCAAAACAGGACTAAAACTTCAGTAGCTTTTAGTGCTTGTCTTTTAAGTTAAAACTAAAATTTTACCTTGATAATTTACATCCACCTTAAAAAAAAGTAGTATAGTTAAGGAATTAAACCTAGGAGGTGCACATGAATAAGATTCATACTTTCAACTATAAATTAACAGTTTTATTAACCTCGTATCTCATAATTGAATTGAAAAAGAATTGTTTGTGAATGTGTATGGGAATCAGATAAAAGCAGACAGTTTCATCTTCATATACGGAGGAAATGACAATCAATGGATACAAGATTTCACAGTGGCGGTGGACAAAATAAGAAGGCACGATATTATAAAGAGGGCAGACGCTGTAATAGAGTACTATCCATTTGGAAAGGAAGATCAAAGGATAGTTCCGCGTTTCTGGATTGGCATAGAGAGCTTGTTTGCGAACATGATTCAGAAGAAGCACAAAGACCCCACGATTGAAGAGATAAAGAGTTTGCTTTGCCTTAAGCAACACCAACCAGGTTGGGTTCTGCTTAGCAAAGGGTCGAACGTGAAGTTGCTGGGGCGTGGGGATCCAATGTTGTCCACTGCAGCTGATTTTGAGATATGGAAAGATAAGGTGCTGGAGAAAGCAGGGTTTGACGTGGCTTTCAGAGAGTACTATGAGCAAAAGCGTCGGAATTACCCTCAAGCATGTGCACACATGCAATTGGCTAATTATCCTGCGGATATTCTTCAGCCCATTAATTGCCCTGATCAGGCTTGTGGGCGATCCATGGAAATATCCTCTGTGAGTTACAAGTGCTGCCACGGTCACACTCACAGGGCTGAAGTTCCTGAGAGTGGTGATGTTATGATTGAGAAGAAGTACTCTTCTTGAGCTCCATCAATCTTTGAGTTTAATCAATTTGTGTGCACTATTATTATACCATCATCATCTTTTTCCTTCTTGTTATTGATTTTGCTTGCCAGCTGTTGTGATGGAGCCTCCTCTGCACCCTTTTTCTTGGGTTGAAAATAATGGCTTCAAGCATTGTCTGTTGTTTTACTGAATTTTGATTCAATTAAGAAGAAACGACTTGATTCGTGCTTGCACAATTCTACCTTCTTATGCTCTTTCTTTCCTCGGATTGCACTTGTTTCAAGTTTTATTAATTATGCTTAATCCACATCCATTACCTAACACGCATTCAATTGGATTGGATGGGTTTTTCATCCGACTCAACTATAAAATTACAGTCTAGTTCGGTTTGAATCGGTTCGGATTGAATTAGATAATTTGAATTTTATAACTTTATATTAATTTATTTTAAAATAATAAATAAATTATTTTATTGTTTTATTTATTGTTTGTATAAATATAATTTTTTTATACAAAAATAATTTTAGGTATAATATAAAAATAATAGTTTTAAGTTATTATAAAAAAAATACTTATATAATCATAAAATTAACAAAATGCAGTCCTAAGAAATAATGATAAAGTGTAAATTTTTAAAAATATCATGAAAAATAATTAAGATTATAATTTTATTAATATATAATTTTAAAATTATGAGTGAGATATTAACTTTACAAATAGAAGTATATATAAATTCGGAATGAATTGGATCAATTTTCAAAATGAGATCCAAATTTAATCCAATAAAAGATTTTGAATTTTGTAGTTTTTGATTTGTCCATATTTTTTTGTTATTTTAATTTTTGATTTTTGTAGTTTTCATTGGACTGGATAAACACTCCTACACCTTAGTAGAGGTTTAAATTGAGAATTTTAAGTAAAGAAATTATGAAGTTGCTATAGTTTCATTAGAAATTTACCTTTTAATAAATAATTTAAATAATATATAAGGTGCAAGTTTTTTTTATCAAATGAAAGACAAAGAAAACAGAAAAACATAATTATAAATAATATGAATTAAAAAATAATGGGAAAAATGAAGAAATAAATAAAACCTTTTTATAAAAGAAAAGGTTATAATAATATGAAGGATTTTTCTTGAAAATATTTAATTAGTTTTAAAAATGATAAGTTAATATGTTTTAAGTAATTACTAATTTTAATTTTTTTAATTATTATTAACAAGTAAAATTAGTTTTAAGAAACTTAAAATAGAACTTTAAGTGCCTTGTATGAGACTAGTTAAAGGAATGACTAGGAATAATAAACTATGAGTTGGATCTTGTTAGTATTATTGTTAAGACAAAAAAAAAAATAGTAAGCAAAAATTAGCATGATTTTATCAATATAATCTACATTCTTTTTCTGTTAACACTCAATTGATTTTCCTAATTTGTAAATATAATATATTAAAAAAACATATCTGATCAGTTTTTAATGCTAACCTGTATAATGAGTTATAATTCATTACAATAGCCCAAACTTTTAATTACAATCCATTAAAAAGAATAACTAAGTCACACACTAATTCAAAATGCATCTAAGTGATTTTTCATTTTAACTTAAAGTCTCTCTAATCATCATTATCGAAGAACAATTTTCTCTCATTTCTAAAGAGTCTTGACTATGCAAACATTTACCAAGTTCAAGTTATGTTTGAACTCTTTGTAACCAAAGGCTTAGTTAACATATTTATGAGATTATCCATATTAACTATTTTCTCTATAAAAAACAATTTTTCTTCAACTACATGAAATTCAATTTAATATTAATATATTTTGATCTTTCATGATAGATTATATTTTTAGACCAATTAAATGTACTTTAACTATCATAATCAAGAACATATCTTTACAAATCCAAACTCAAAGCATAATAAGACTCTACAATCATCTACCTTCTTTAACTCCTCTTGACAATAACATATATTTTTACTTATGTGGTAAATAAAGCAATAATAATTTGAAGTGTTATTTTTTAGCTAGTAGCATATTTATAAAGAAAAAAAAATGTAATATATTAACGTTTTTCTTTTTAGAAGATCTCCATTCTAATTAAAATTTACATAACCAATAAAACTACTATAAATCGAGTAAATATATATTTTTCAAAGTATTGCATAATCTACTTTACTATCTTTTAACAAGTCTTTTAATAATTATTCATAAATACTCACCGCATTAACATAAGTAAAATCTAGTCTATATATTAGTAATAATTTTGAACTATCTAAAATATTTTATAGTGATTAATTAGTATATGATTGTTTGTAAAACCATCACAAAATTAAAAAAAAAAATACTCATATTTATAAAATATGACTTATGTTATTTTAATATTTTTATTATTATTTCAATAATTTAATAAATTTGAAAAGAAATTATTCTGTTAAAGTGAAAAAAAAACCTCAAGTTACAGCGAAAAATACAATTTCACACCCTTACTTTTCCTTGATGTCATATACCTTCACATTTTAAATGTAAACAAAATTCTTTACCTTTAAAATATACGATTAGATTTTGCTCCCTTGTATTATTATAACAATTACAAAATTACATTCTTAGTATTTGTTCCTTTGTCACACAACTGTCTTTAGTTTTTAGTTAGTCTTATGAAACATGAATAGAAAACTTTTATTAACATTTAAAATTAACACTTAAAAATATTTTTTAACATGTATATTTATAATATATATTTCAGAGTTTATTTATAAAAAGTTTCATGAAGTGTCTTCACAAAGAATTTCTCTTACATCCTTTTTTATTATTTTTTATTTTAAAATTTTATATTATCCAAAATTTTAAATTTTAAAAGAATAATAATTACTAAAAAAAATATTTAATTTTAATTAAATGTTAAAATTTTTAATTTTAATTATATTAAATCAAGTTTTTAAATTTTAATATACTTAAAATAATTTGTTAGTTTAAAATTTAAATAGTTTGAATGTTTCGTATATATTTTTTATAAGTAATATATATTTTTTGAAATTAGTATTAAATTTTATCACACCTATATATATATATATATATATATATATATATATATATATATACAGTGGAATATAATAAAATATTATTTTTTTAAAATAATAGATCTGAACATAAATTATTCCAATGAATGGTATGCAGATTTTGTACCCAGCTTTACATAAGCATTACTCAGTATAATATTCTTGGCTTGAACCTTTGTCGGGTCTTTCTGAAAAGGCAAATGTTTGAGCAGTGGTACTGACAAAACAAAGTATAAAATGACATTATTATAATCATATTTTACATGAAGCCAGAAATATAGAGGTTGGAATGCAAAGTTGAAATAAAGAAAATCAAACATAATAGCACATATTAGTTATCTGTTTCGTAACTTTCGTTTATCAGACATGATCCTAATTTATTTTAAAAATTTGAAGTGACTTGTAAGGATGTTTTTTTTAAGGAAAGTGACTTGTTTGTTTTACAAGTGGCGATATATTCCATTTTTGTCTTATTTTACATGAAAGGTTTTTTACAATATAGCTAAGTTGAGAATTGGCAAGCTAGTTTAGTGGGTGAACATTTTTGAACATTTTTATCAAGGTAAAAATAGGTTAGATACTTAGATTAAGTCACACAGTGAGTATCTTACACACGAGGCTGAGAATAACTACTATATACGCGACAAATTACTTAAATGTATTTATATATTTACGTGCCCAATTTCCAGATTATTGGTTACGTATTATTTTAAAGTAAATTATATTTCCTTCTTAAAAAATAATATATTATATTATTATTTTTATTTTAAAATATTATTTTCTCTCCTTAAAAATTAAAATGTATGATAATGTAATTTATTTTAAATTTTTTGTTAAAGTAGTGTTAAACACTTATATGTCCAAATTTAAAATATTAAATTTACTTTTTATTTTCTACTTGCCTATTTTTTTTATTTGTATGCCTTAGTTTTCTAAATCTTTTTGTGCTCTATCTTCTTTTAAAAAAATGTTAAAATTGCAAGTTATTTATATTTTTTACGATTTTGATAAATGTAAGAATATTTTTAGTTTTATTTCATTATTTAACATTGAGACAAGAATTTAAAACTTTTATAATAATAAGCATTTACTGTTATAAAAAATACACTAAACTCATTAAACCTTTTGAAAGAAAGAAAAAAAATATGTAAATTTTATATTAAAAAGAATTTTAGTAAAAAAAAGTCAAACATGTATTCAAAAGTTCTTTAACAAAAAAATTTAAAATATATTAAAGTGTGATGGGTTTTAAATTTTTTTGATAGAGGGAGTTTTACAATTTTAAAATAGAAAGGATGCTAAATCTAATGTAACATATACATCTTTTAAGGGAGGAGAATGTAATTTATTGATATTTTTTATTTTATAAAATAAATGTTAATAAAAGTATAATTAAAAAAATTGTTTTTTTGGTAATTAAAATTAATCTTTATGAAGTCTAAGTCTCATTTATTTCTTAAATCTAAAGTTCAAATCAACCTTATTTTATTCAATATTATTAAGTCTGATCCAATAATCAACTTAGATCAAGGCATTAAATTATTGGAAAATGTCGAACATCATTGAATAGATGATGCAAAATGTTCAAGAAACCATGTAGCAGAGAACATATACAGCTAAATGATTCAAGTCTTGGTTAGCTTCAGGATGAGCAAACAAGATCTCCACTTTACAAGACAATAAAATCTTATGTCTCATTAATTTATTTTAATGTATATGATAATATTAATCTATAAAAGAATTATAGATAGATAACTTTTTATTTTCTTATTTTACAAATAAGCATATTTTAAAGAAATTTTTATTTTATTAATGTCTACCAGTGCCTCGAAGAAATTATTTCTCATAATTAAAAGATAAAAGTAAAAAACTGAAAAAAAAAATTTTGCCATCTAAGAGTTATACTTTATGACATGTGGTAACATTATCCAACATAATCTTCTTGCCTTGAACCTTTGGACAAGTGAACTTCCGCCGTCTGTGTAAAGCAAAAGTTTCAGGAAATTCCATCAGAAGAAAGTATAATAAAATATTGCAATGCAAGTTTGGGTAGCAGCATTTGTTTTAAAGTTAAAAGATTAATGTTTGTAAATTACAATAAAAAAATTCAATAAAATTATACAATTTATTTTAATTTACTTGTGTATTTAAATTATATTTAATAATTGAAAATCAATTCTATCAATATTATTTTCAAAGTCATTTTGAACTAGATAACGAACACATGCCCTCGTTTTTACAATAATTGAAACGAAATTTAAGAGACAGTTTCACGAAAAGAAAAAATTAAAAATAGTGATAAAACAGAGTTGAATTCAATGTACAAACAACCGTATAATCTTCTTGCCTTGATCCATTGGACAAGTGTTCCTATCGTCTTTAATGAAAGCGAAAGCTTCAGAAAATTCCAACCCAAGATAAAAACACAGTAGTTTGGGGAAATCACAGAAAATGCCAATTACATCCTTTGTCATATCACAAACGTCAAGAAGCAATAAGGGTAAAATATGAACTTCACAAGAGAGAGGCACGTTTCACGTTTGCTACAGTAAAAATAGCTTTGATTATTTATATTTTATTAATTTTTCTTTAACTCTCCCTCTCCTCTTAGGTGAAGTTACTAATTATGCCAAGTGTAAAGCCTCGAGGAATCTTAACCTATAAATAGTGTTGAGCATGGGAACACTTAGCATCAGTTGCATCCAAAACTTGGAACTTCGTATCAGGTTGAACTACCGAAATGTCCAACACCAAGCCGCATCAGAAGGCTCTGTTGCCAAACCCATTTCATTTGAGTGACTCTGATATCCTTGAAAAAGTTTATCTAACCCACACTTACGATGACGAAGTTTGCGATAAGCAGATACTTTTCAATGTGGTCTCCAACGTTATCTTGCTATCTTCTCGCGTTGTTGAAACTGTTCTACTTAAGGTAACTTTAATTTCTCAAATGTTCGTTCATTAGGTGCAATCTTTATATATATAATGGGAAAGGTGATGTATCTTCATTGACGTGTTATACTATACAGCTAACTGAAATCTTTGGTGTTTTACAGAGAGAAGGGCGCAATGGAATTATCGAAAGCAAATTTCCCATAACCGATTTCAAACCAGAATTCCACAAACTGAAGCTGATGTCATGTCAGGTATATATTGTCACATATTCACAATTCTTAAGTCTGAAAAAGTAGCCCCTCTTCTCTGCATTTCATTATATGAGCTTACTTCTATATAATTAGATCTATCTCTCAGTATATAATTTAAAAACATTTTATTTAGTATTCACATACAAATCAATATCATTAAATTACAATAACTTATTTGACGATGGCAGATGATAACAATACCTTCTGGAGTGGAAAACGCACACCAAACAACAATGAGGATTCTTCAACAATTAAGAACCTTCTCATGGGATGCAAAAGCACTAATAGCTCTAGCAGCATTCGCATTGGAGTATGGAAACTTTTGGAACCTGTACCAGCTGCCACCGTCAGACCAACTGGGAAACTCGTTGAAACTGTTGAATCAAATTCAGCACAGACAGATTGCTATTGTTGATATTAACAATCTAGTGGGGCTGGTGATGGAAGCTGTTCAGAAAATCAAAGAGTGGGGAACATGGACTGCTGAAGGTTATGACACCGAGGATGTTCCCTCTCTCTCGGATGCACTGCAAGAGATCCCCCGTGTTGTCTACTGGGCGGTTGCTTCCCTTGTCGCTTGCAACAGCAACTTCATTGGTCTATCGTAAGTTCTTATGTAATCCTCTTCAATTTGCAACTTAGATAACACACACACACACACAATATATTACTGTTTACTGATCCACACTTTGGCTCATCAAATATATAAAAAAAACCACAAACATTCAAAATATTATTAATTAAGAGGATATAGAAAATCTCTCAAAAAGTATAAAACTATTTTCAGATATATTAACTTTTTTTATTTATTTCAAGAGTAAGTTTAAGTATGTAGAAGTAGTAATTTTTATGAAAAAAGAACACATTTATTATATTAAATTTATATAAGCATAATAAATAATTTTTTAATAAAATTTTATTATCATTAATTATTTAAACTCATCTCTAAAAGTTAAACTTAACATTTTTTATTTTTTTAATACCCTTGTTTCATTATGAGATTTTTGCGAACAAAATACTCACCCACTTTTCATTCAGTCATTTAACAGCATGAATAATTTTAAAATAAAATATAAATTTATATTATAAAACTGTTTTTAATAAATTAGTTTTTGATTTTGTATTTATTTCTTATTAGTACGTGTGTATATATATATATATATATATATACACACACACATTGATTTTTAACTAACAAGATGATGGGAGCTGTAGCGGTGGCTAAACGCGTAAAATGAACTACAAATTTTGATTGGTTCAGTTATATAAAAGAGATTTCCCTCATCTACTAATTGATAATAACTGGAGCTGTATCTTGCTCTTTGGTTTTGTTTTAGGAACTATTCATTAGCAGATTTCAGTGCCAAACTTTCTCCCGCTCTCCAAGAGTTGAACGGGCATCTAGAGATATGCAAGCTCCAAATAGGTTGTGCTTAGTGCTTTCGCATGGTTCTTTCAATACTTTCTAATTTCTACTGAAGGGGTTTTAGATTATAACTCATGCTGAAATGAAAGTCCCTCTCATTTATTGCAGATGATGTAGAAGACTATTTGAGACGTAAGAGGAACTTTAGAAAGCCTAAAGATGTTGTAGACTTTTTGAAGCTTTTGATCCATCGTGATGAGTCTCAGGATGCTCAAATATATGATGGCAGCACCCAAAATAAAGTGGTTCGTGCCAAAGAATTTTTATTTTTGCGCATTGTGTACATGCTTGAAATTGGTTTTTAAGTGTTCAATTATCAAATAAATTAATGAGTAATTTGTCCATTCATAATTATTATTTATTTATTGTTACTACGTATATACAGGGTGTGGAAGTATTCAAGCAGAAGCATATCTTGTTATTCATTTCGACCCTGGACAGTATTGCAGATGAGATTCGGCTTCTGAATTCTATTCAGGATAGACTTGTGGAGGATCCGAATGATAACAAAGGTTTTAAGAAAGAAGAATTCAAGATTTTGTGGATACCCATTGTGGATAGATGGGATGATGAGCGCAGGGAAGTGTTTAAAGCTTTGAGGAATGGCATCAAATGGTACTTTGTCGATTACTTTTCTCCCTTACCAGGCATCAGGCTCATTAGAGAAGATCTAAACTTCGAGAATAAGCCTATAGTTCCAGTGGTCAACCCTCAAGGCATCGTGATAAACAATGATGCCATGGACATTATTTTCGAATGGGGCATCGACGCATTCCCTTTCAGAAAATCTGATGGTGACATGCTTGCTCAGAAATGGAAATGGTTTTGGGACGAAGTTAGGAAAACTAATTTTGATATACAGGTAAATAACAAAAGTAGTTTTAGATCATAACTTGAAGAATCTTTTCTAAAATGCAATTCATTAGGATTTAAGCAAGTAGACCCAATTCAACATTAAGAGAGTGATTGGGCTTAAGAATTGAGTAATCTACTTGTCTAAAATATGGTATACAATTTTAGACTTAAAGCCCTGACCTATATAACTTTTATATTTTTTACCGTGTGGATCAGGTGAAAGGGGACAGGTACATTTTCATATTTGGAGGTAATGATGGTAAGTGGATCCAAGACTTCACACTGGCAGTGGACAAAGTTAAGAGACACGAAACAATAAAGAGGGCAGACGCTATAATTGATTATTACCATTTGGGAAAGGATGACCCCAAGAAAGTGCCACGATTCTGGATTGGCATAGAAAGTAAGAGACAAAAGAAGCACTACGAGGTGTTGGACTGTGAGATTCAAGAAATTGTGAAGAGTTTGCTTTGTCTCAAGCAAGATGGACAAGGATGGGCTCTTCTTAGTAAAGGGTCCAATGTCAAGATTCTGGGTCACGGTGAACCAATGTATCAAACACTGGCAGATTTTGAGATATGGAAAGAAAAAGTGCTCGTGAGAGAAGGCTTTGACATAGCCTTCAAAGAGTACTACGAGACCAAGCTTAACGATCTACCTGCCCCTCAACCATGCGCATTTATGAATGTTGATAACTACACTTCAAATGTCGTAGCAACCATAACATGCCCAAATGCCTCTTGTGGGCGTGTGATGGAGGTGACATCGGTTAATTACAAGTGCTGCCATCGTGATGGTTCAGACAGTGGTAAAGTCTGAGCCATAGAACCAGGCTTGTTTTGGTGAAACATCACTTTAAATTCAATGTGTGTTTACTAATATATGAATGTGTGTCCATACAATGCGTTGTCTTATAAGGCCACTTGATGGCCCTTGAATGGACAATTAAATAATCGCATCGTTTGTATGTTGCTGAATTAGATGATTAAATAAATAGTTCTGCACACGCAGAATTTGGACTATCGTCCCTCAGTTCTCTTTCTTCTTCGATTTTTGGGACTCCACTTTGATTTAGATCCCATGGAAGAACCCAATTCCACCCATGATTGATTAAGCTCGTACAGCCTAATTAGTCTTGTATAGATATAAAATAAAACTTCAATGAACCATAAACAAATATATATATATATATATATATATATATATATATATATATTGTACCTTTTCGTTTTTATCTTTAAGCCATATCACTTTTATCTTTATAGGACTAAGATTTTGTCACACTAGTGTAAGTTTAAAAAATTTTATACTTTCCGAACTTTTCATTTAAATTATATATAACAGGTTATAATTTATTATTTCAGTGACTGTTAAATATAAGTTAAATGAAAGGCTTATATCGAGTGTAAGAATTTTTAGACTTATACTAGTGTAAGAAGATCTTTCTTTCTTTCTCTCTCTCTCTCTCTCTCTCTCTATATATATATATATATATATATATATATATTCTTGTTTTCAGCAATAGAATCATTCCTTCAATTATTCTCCCTTTCTCTCATCATGTTTGATGCAAATTCTGACTCTTATGCTAATACTGTACATAGTTGCTCTACTGCCACCCATCCAAACCCTAGTCTTAGGCTTTCTAGCCCATATCATATTCACCCTAGTGAAGGTCCTTACTTAGTCTCTGTCACCCCAACCTTAACTGTGACAAACTATCACTCTTAGTCTAGATATATACATATGACATTGATTTCTAAGAACAAGATGGATTTTTTTAACAAGTTCAATACTTATGCCTTTTGCTACGGATCCGTTGCAGTCTTCTTGGGAGTTTTGCAACACATTGATCATGTCCTATCTCCTCAATTCTTTATCACCATCCATTGCTCACAGTGTCATCTTCTTTGACCTCGCCATAAACATCTGGATTGACCTCAGGGAGCGATCCTCCCAAAGTGATTTGCATCAAATAATAGATCTCAAAGAAGAGATTTATGGCATCCAGCAAGGCTGTCATCTAGTCTCTAATTATTATAAGGCTCTCAAGTCTCTTTGGGAAGAGCTTGACAATTTTCACCATTTTCCTGTTTGTTCTTGTTCTACAAAGGTTCACCACTAACAAGATTTTATTATTCGCTTCCTCAAAGGGCTTGATAACTGCTTCTCTATTGTGCATTCTCATATTTGCCTTAACACACACACACCACACCAAAAATTTGATGCTCGGTCTAGAAAAGGAATTTTCTTAGGTTTTCAAACTAGTACAAAAAGATACATAATTCTTGATTTTAACATTAAAGCAAATTTTTATCTCACGTAATGTTATTTTTCATGAATCAATTCTCCCTTTCACACAAATTAATACTCCTCCAAACAATGTCTCTCATAGCGCACACACACAACAACCCATTTTTAGTCCAAACACACTTGTTTTTAAACCACTTATTTCAGCCCTTCCACATGATACCAACTCCCAGCCCACATCCATAGAAGAGCTCAATTCAGTTACAAGCAACACAAGTCAGCCCAATTCAAATACTAGTCCAAGTTTTTTTTTTTTTCAACCACTAATCCTTCCTCATCATCCTTGACTAATGTTAGGCCTGTAATTTATTATTAAGTGATCTGTAATATTTTATACTTGTTAAATATTAATTAAAGGATTATTTGGTATTGGAATAGATTTAGATGGAGTTTGGTATTATTTAAAAAAAAAAAAAGGTAAACAGTAAAGTTGGTATGAACATTAAAGTGGTGAATAGTAAGTTCGACATGAATAATACTTGAAAAAAAATTGAAATTTTGCCTATAAATAAGAGACCTTGCATGAAATTTTCATTTTTACACTTCTCAAAGGTTCTAAAGAGACCCAAGGTCATATACCACAATTTTCCCTCATATTAAACCCTCTTAAACTTAGATTTCTCACCAGATCTGAGATTTTATATCTATTCTGAAAGATCTGAAATAAGTTTCTATAAGTTTGAAGTTAGATTTATGTTTGTTTCTCTTCTTCTTCTTTTTTCTTATAGATAGTTGATGATATCTTAGGAGAAACTTTGTTGTAGGACTAAATCTTGTCACGACCCTTTTTATAAGGAATTGAGAACATTGTTTCTACATCATATACTTATTTAAGATAAATAAATAATAGAGAATATAAGTATGAAATTCTCTTCTCATTCAAAATAAAACAAAGTTTCTTACAACAAATATCCAATAGAACAACATAATATTATATTTAGTTCATAATATTCAAAATACCTAAAATTATACTACATAGCTCCCTCTACATGAGGTCTCAAAATATAAGGAAAAAGGACTTTAATGCAAAATTGCTCTACTCCAGCTTCTAACATTTCTCCACTAGCCCCTCAGCTTGTGAAGTAGATGCAACACTTGCTACATCTGCTCACATACCACCGTACGATCATCGCAGTACACACACACAACGACATAGAAAGAAATGCAAGGGTGAGCTTACAAAAATAAACTAAAATTATATGTATATATATATATATATATAACAAAACATTACTCACAGCAACAGCCTCATGCATTACCAGCCCATCTAATGCACAACATGAAAACTGTTTCCAACTGGTTTCACAGCCTAAATAATCCAGAAGGAACCGAGCCGGTCTGGGAGTGACCCCATTCCGCTATCTGGATCCAGACAGCACAACACAGCAGCTTAGCATGAACTTACCGTTACACGTCTACCCACCTAAACATGTAACTTGGCTCTATAATGATGCAAAACATATATTTCAGCATGATGCACACCACTAAAATTATTTTAACACCTCAACTAAGGTAAGTTTATAATAGATTAGCCAAAATCTTAACATTTTAAATCAATTAATAGAACTTACAGCTTAGAAAATAGCTTTTATTTAATAGATCTAACAAAATCATATCAAAACATCTTGAAATAGTATATTAAACCGTTCAAAACGTAGTTCATAGGCTAAGGTAAGCTCCTCTTACCTTAGAACGATGATTCACACCAGATCTACCAAATATTACTTGTTTTATAACAAGATTCACCAAAGATTTGACTTTAGAACAGAGTTTTTCTAAGAACACCATGAACTTCTATGAGAAAGAAAAGGAGAAGAGAAACAAACGGTAAATCCAGCTTCAAACTTAAAGAAACTTACTTCAAATCCTTCAAAATAGACGTAGAATCTCAGATCTGGCGAGAAATTGAAGTTTAAGAGGGTTTAGTATAAGAGAAAATGGTGGTACATGACCTTGGAACCTTTGAGAACCTTGAATAGGAGTGAAGAAATGAAAATTTTGTGTGAAGCCCCATTTTTCTAGAAAATTTTTGAAATTTATTGTTCACCGCCTTATTGTTCACGCCGGAAACATTTCGCACGCGTACTGTACACGCATTGTACACGTATGTGACGTCAGCCATGACGTCAGGATGATGTCACTGATGACGTCAGCGGTCACTGTACATATGCGGTTTTTACTGTTCATACGCGGTTTGTATTGTTCATAGGCGATTTTACTGTTCATTTGACACTGTTCATACGGTACTGTTCACTTTTTTTTAAAAAAAAAAATAAAATTCAAACTCCATCTAAATCTATTCCAATACTAAATAATTCTTCAATTAACATTTAACAAGTATAAAATATTATAGATTACTCGATAATAAATCACAAGCCTGATAAATCTTCGGTGGATCTTGCCTTAAAACAAGTAATATTCAATAGATCTAGTGTGAATCGCTATTTTAAGGTAAGGGGAGCTTACTTTAACTATTAAACGATGTCTTGAACGATTTGGTATGCTATTACAAGAAGTTTTAAGATGATTTTGTCAGATCTCTTGGATAAAAGATATTTTCAATATTGTAATTGTTGTTAATTGATTTAAAATGTTGAGATTTGACTGAAATATTATGAATTGTTTTAGCTGAGCTGTTGAGAATATGATTTTTTTGTGTTGCATCATACTGAGATATATGTCTTACTTCATTATATAGCTGAGTTACACATTTAGATGGGTAGAAGTGTAATGATAGAGCATGTTGAGCTGTGCTGTCTGGATCAAGATACCAAAATGGATCGCTTCTAGATCGACTCGGTTCCTTCTGGATTACTTAGGCTGTGAAACCAGTTGGAACCGTTTTCATGTTGCGCATTAGATGGCTAGAAATGCATGAGGCTGTTGTTGTGAGTAAAATTTTGCTCTATATATATAATTTTTTTTCTTTTGTAAGTTCACCCTTGCATTTCTATCTATGTTGTTGTGTGTGTACTGCGATTATCGTACGGTGATACGTGAGCAGTGTTGCATCTACTTCACAGGCTGAAGGGCCAGTGGAGAAGTGTTAGAAGGCTGAAGTAGAGTAATCTTGCATTAAAGACCTTCTCCTTATATTTTGAGATCTCATATAAAGGGAGTTATGTAGTATAATTTTTATGTATTTTGAGTATTACGAACTAAATATAATATTATGTTGTTCTGTTGGATATTTGTTGTAATGAAATTTGTTTATTTTGAATGAAAAGTAAATTTTATACTTATATTCTCCATTATTTATCCATCTTAAATAAGTAAGTGGTGTAGAAATAATGTTCTCAGTCCCTTATAAAAAGGGGTTGTGACAACTTACTCTTTCCCAAATCAAAATCCACCAAAAGTCCATAACCTAACTGAGCCTTTCTCATCGTCACATAGCAACACCTTGTTGCCGCCATTGCCAGTGCCTCAACCCCAACAACTGCAGCAATCAACTCATGCTACCAAGCCTCCGCCACACCTTGCTAATTTTAAGTGCAATTCTTGTTCAATGCAGTCCAACCAATCATCCTCAAAGTGCTTATATCCTA